AGATATTCCGAAACTTGCTGGCCATTGCTTAAATAACACTTACTTCTTATGGAGAGGGGATTTCTTTAAACAAAAGGAAGGAGCAGCAATGGGTTCTCCTTTATCCCCTGCTATAGCAAATTTGTACATGGAAAACTTTGAAATAAGAGCACTTGCCTCGAGCACATTAAAACCATCCTTTTGGTTTAGGTATGTGGATGACACTTTGGTTGTCTGGCCACATGGTAAAGATACACTTAATGATTTTCTAAATCATCTCAATGCACAAAACCCGGCCATCCAGTTCACCATGGAAATGGAGGTGAATAATACACTCCCATTCCTAGATATTTTGCTTGGACATGGCCTAAACGGTAAAATAACACACAGCGTTTACAGAAAGCAAACGCACACTGATGCCTATCTGAATGCAGAATCACATCATCATCCAGCTCAAAAATCCTCTCTTATTAAGACGCTCGTGCATCGGGCGAAAACAGTGTCAGATGGTGAGAGTCTAGTGAGAGAGATTAAACACGTTAAAGACGCACTACGACAGAATGGCTACAATAATGCTCAAATTAACAGAGCACTGAATGCCAAATCACGATCGCAAAGCAATACTACTGAAAGCGACCAGATTGTTAAAACAATAAAAATTCCATATATCTCAGGAGTAACTGACAAATTAGCCCGCGTTTTGCAAAAGCAAAACATTACAGTAAGATTTGGTACAGTACACAAAATTCAAAAACTAGTATCTTGCACTAAAGACGCATTACCTAAACTATCAACAGAAGGTGTATATCGGATTAATTGTTCATGTGGCAGCTGCTACATTGGGCAGACGGGACGTAACATCAGCGTAAGACTAAAAGAACATCAGAGAAATATTAAATTATCTCAAACACAACTGTCGGCAGTGGCAGAACATGCTTGTCAACAAGGACACTCAATTGATTTTGACAATGTTGCAGTGGTGTGTAAAACTAATTATTACTGGCAAAGACTAATTAGAGAATCCATTGAAATTGAGAGGAACAAGAATAACTTTAATCGCTCTGACAGCTACCGGCTCAGTGCGGCCTGGAAGCGTATTATTAAATAATACACATTACATTTTGATTTAAAGAATTACTAATCTACAACTCATTACTAATCATAACCAATGACTGATTACTAATCGATTATATAATTACATTACCCCCCCCCTCCGCCTCTAATCACTGCACCTGATGAGTTAAGTGATGACGTCACTCTTCTGCTCTATATAAAACCGGGAGCAAGCGAGGGCTTTACCATTCTGGCGAATTGCCCGATGATGCTGGAAGTATTTACCAGCGAAACGTCGTACTCAAACTGTAAATGTGGATTAACTCTTCAACACACCGGTGGGCTGAAGTAGTGAATTATTTGTCTTTTGTCAACGTGACACTTTTCTTTGCTGATTGGCCGTGTCGGGTGGTGGAGGGTTACGACACATTTATAAATAAACGCGATCTAACCCAAAAACCTTTATTATGAATGTCCAAACCTAAAAACGTTTTCCAAATCACCAAAAAATAAAGCCATAATTGCAGCGTAACAGTGATCACAGGGACTGTGACCGATTTTTTACAATTAACTACATAAATAACATGTAACACCAAATCCTAGAGCCATAGTTGGCTGCATGAGTTACTCCACAACAACAGATGCATCGGTCTGAGTATCAAATTACTCAATGTACCTTTAAGATCAGCACGCTAAATCAAAATACAGATAATACTTTGCAGCGTCATCCGGAGCGAAACATTTTATTTTATGTTACGCCAATGAATAGCAGTGGCAGCTAGGGGTGTACAACTCCTCGAGAGCAGTTTTGAGAGAAGATCTCATTGGTAGCGATTCAAGTTGCAGTTTATTGGCAATAGCATTCCAGACTCTGGGGGCATCAATAGCAAAGGCCCTTCCTACGGCAATAGGGAATGTGAAGCTGGTAAATGAGCGAAGACCTGAGGTCAAATTTGTTATTTGAAATAGAGTGGAGATCCAGCAAGTAGTCTGTGGATTTTTTTGTAAGTACATCGTGAATAAATAAGATCTGGTGCACAAGCCGTCGAACATTAAGAGACGTTAAGTTTGACCCAATGTAGAGATCACAGTGGTGAGTCCTATATGTGCAGTTCAATGTAAATTTTAAAGCCGAGTGATAGATGGAATCAAGCTTCTTCAGTACAGTACTTGGGGCTGATTTATACACGATGTCACAGTAGTCAAGTAGAGGCAGTATGGTAGCTTTTATCAATTCCAAACGGAACATTGGGGGGAAGCAGTGCTTGTGTCGATACAGAAAACCAATTTTTATTTTTGTCTTTTTACCAATATAATCAATGTGATCTTCAAAATTCAGTTTTGAATCCAGGATGACCCCAAGATACTTATAGATCTTGACTTGCTCTATTTTATAATTATTTAAGGAATGTAATTGGGGAAACATGACTTCCTGCTTTAGTCCTGGTGAGAAGCATAGCACCTTGGTTTTGTAGGTATTCAGGACTAGTTTAAGAGCAACTAGCTGATGTTGTAGTTTGATGAAATCACCCTGTAGCTTAGCAATCACGTCATCCGGAGAGCGGCCAGCAGTAATCACTATTGTGTCATCTGCAAAAAGATTTACCCTGGAATGATCCAGGTCAGTGCCCAAGTCATTGACATAAAGATAGAAGAAAAGGGGGCCGAGGATGGAACCCTGTGGAACCCCTTTTGTTATCTTAACACTGTTTGACCTCCAACCATCTGTGAATACTTTCGTGGATTGTCTGGAAACTAAATTCGTTTAATGTTTGGACAGGGGTGTAGGAATTTGCATGAGCAGAGGTGACTCCCAATACATTATAAAAAAAGATTACCAGCTTCAGAAAAATGAAGGTTAAAATTGTCAACTATTTTTTTGGGATCTGAAAAATATTCCCCATTTCGGTTAAGCTCAACGGGCAGATTGTCTGTTTTGGATGCCTTTTCGATATATTTGTTTTCAAGAAAATCCTGGCATTTCCATGTGATTCCAGGAGAGTGGAGGAAAAGTAGGCATTTTTTGCATGCCGTATTTTTTTGACGCATCTATTCCTTAAAATCCTGTATTCTAGCCAGTCATTGACCAAATTACTTTTCTCAGCACATGCCCAAGCCTTGTCCCTAGTTTTCATTAGCTTTGTAATCAAATGATCAAACCATGGTGGGCGGTTGCATTTAGTTTTAAATCTAACCAACGGAGCATGTTTGTTAAGAATTTGGAGAAACGTGTACCTGAAAGTCTCCCAAGCCGTAATCAGGTTGGGGATATCACAGACCTTGTCAATATCCGAGTGAAGCACATCATTAGCAAATGCCTGAGTGCTGAAGTGTCTCATAGAGTGCTTCTCAACCAATTTAGGGGGGCTTTGGGTCTGGCTGATGATCTCACTCCAAAAATGAAGGAGTGATCACTAAGGTTATTACCCAGAACACCAGTCAGTGTGAAATTGTGAGGGGCATATGTCAATAAGACGTCAAGCAGAGTTGACTGTCCCGAATATTTTAGGTTGGGTCTTGCGGGGACATTTATTAATTGAAACAGATTAAATTCATCTGCAAAATGTGTGGCCACGGCCGGCGGGTTTAGCCAATTCCAATTTAGATCACCCACTAAAACTATTTCACCTTTAGGGAGGCGCCCAAAAAGCTCTCTCAGTGCAGACGCAGCTTCAACATCCTTCCCACTAGGCGGTCGATAGCAGCACACTACCAATATCTGTTGATTATTTGGGAGCGTTATTTTGAGAGCGAGACCTTCAAAGCAACATTTTTTAAACAAGGAGTGAGCTAGTGAACAAGCTCCTCAGCCGCCACCATTTCAGTCTCCGACCGCCAGCGCTTCCTCTGCGTCTTCGCCATCAACAACTCCAAGTCCTTCGAGGACATCCACCAGTACAGGTGGGTCGGTGTGTGTGTGTCGGACTTAACGCATCCACAAGTACAGGTGGATGTGTGTCGGACTTAGTGCATCCACAAGTACAGGTGGGTCGGTGTGTGTGTCGGACTTAGTGAATCCACCAGTACAGGTGTGTGTGTGTCGGACTTAGTGCATCCACAAGTACAGGTGTGTGTGTCGGACTTAGTGCATCCACAAGTACAGGTGTGTGTGTGTCGGACTAAGTGCATCCACAAGTACAGGTGTGTGTGTGTCGGACTTAGTGCATCCACAAGTACAGGTGTGTGTGTGTGTCAGACTTAGTGCATCCACAAGTACAGGTGTGTGTGTGTATCGGACTTAGTGCACCCACCAGTACAGGTGGGTCGGTGTGTGTGTCGGACTTAACGCATCCACAAGTACAGGTGTGTGTGTGTCGGACTTAGTGCATCCACCAGTACAGTGGGTCGGTGTGTGTGTGTGTGTCGGACTTAGTGCATCCACCAGTACAGATGGGTCGGTGTGTGTGTCGGACTTAGTGCATCCACAAGTACAGGTGTGTGTTTGTGTGTCGGCTTAGTGCATCCACAAATACACGTGGGTGTGTGTGTGTCGGCGGTGGGTGGCTTACTGCAGCTACCATATCATGCGTCTTGTGCTGGAAGAAATAAAGCCTCCAGTTAAATTTTTGACTTGTTACACTGGTCTACAGCCAAAATGCTTTCGAGAAATAAACATGTAGTCCAACTTTACTAATTCTGTGTCACTGAGCTGTCCACTTGACACTGATGTTCCGGTGTGTCTGTTCCACCTGAAGAAGGAGACTTGTGTTGCCTCCGAAACGTCGTGATTTAATTTTCTTTTGTTTTATTTTATTTTACCTCCGTGACTCCACCGTACAAATTGATTCTCATTGTTTCGTGAGGAGTCGACTCCTTTTTAATCGCATAAGAATCGACTCCCATTGACTTGCACAGGGAATCGGATTGTAGATTGTCTTAGAAATCGATTGCTCATTGAATTGCATGAGGAATCGACTTAGCGTCTGAATCAATTCCTTGTCGACTTGTGTTTGGAACCGGTTCGTCGTGTGGAGTTGGATCCGGGTCCGGGGGGTTCAGCATCGCCTGGTGAGATTACACTCAACACTCACCACTACTCACCACTAGTACACTCACCACTACTCATCACTAGTACACTCACCACTACTCACCACTAGTACACTCACCACTAGTACACTCACCACTAGTACACTCACCACTCACCACTAGTACACTCACCACTAGTACACTCACCACTACTCACCACTCACCACTAGTACACTCACCACTAGTACACTCACCACTAGTACACTCACCACTACTCACCACTAGTACACTCACCACTAGTACACTCACCACTACTCACCACTAATACACTCACCACTAGTACACTCACCACTACGCACCACTAGTACACTCACCACTACTCACCACTAGTACACTCACCACTACTCACCACTAGTACACTCACCACTAGTACACTCACCACTTACCACTACTCACCACTTACCACTAGTACACTCACCACTAGTACACTCACCACTTACCACTACTCACCACTCACCACTAGTACACTCACCACTACTCACCACTCACCACTAGTACACTCACCACTAGTACACCCACCACTCACCACTAGTACACTCACCACTAGTACACTCACCACTAGTACACTCACCACTACTCACTAGTACACTCACCACTACTCACCACTAGTACACTCACCACTCACCACTACTCACCACTCACCACTAGTACATTCACCACTAGTACACTCACCACTACTCACCACTCACCACTAGTACACTCACCACTAGTACACCCACCACTCACCACTAGTACACTCACCACTAGTACACTCACCACTAGTACACTCACCACTACTCACCACTACTCACCACTAGTACACTCACCACTAGTACACTCACCACTCACCACTAGTACACTCACCACTACTCACCACTAGCACACTCACCACTAGTACACTCACCACTCACCACTAGTACACTCACCACTAGTACACTCACCACTACTCAACACTCACCACTAGTACACTCACCACTACTCACCACTACTCACCACTAGTACACTCACCACTAGTACACTCACCACTACTCACCACTCACCACCACTCACCACTAGTACACTCACCACTAATACACTCACCACTAGTACACTCACCACTAGTACACTCACCACTCACCACTAGTACACTCACCACTAGCACACTCACCACTCACCACTAGTACACTCACCACTACTCACCACTAGTACACTCACCACTACTCACCACCACTCACCACTAGTACACTCACCACTCCCCCACTAGTACACTCACCACTACTCACCACTAGTACACTCACCACTAGTACACTCACCACTACTCACCACTCACCACTACTCACCACTCACCACTAGTACACTCACCACTAGTACACTCACCACTACTCACCACTCACCACTACTCACCACTCACCACTAGTACACTCACCACTCACCACTACTCACCACTAGTACACTCACCACTACTCACCACTACTCAACACTCACCACTAGTACACTCACCACTAGTACACTCACCACTAGTACACTCACCACTCACCACTAGTACACTCACCACTCACCACTGCTCACCACTCACCACTACTCACCACTAGTACACTCACCACTAGTACACTCACCACTACTCACCACTAGTACACTCACCACTAGTACACTCACCACTAGTACACCCACCACTCACCACTACTCACCACTAGTACACTCACCACTAGTACACTCACCACTCACCACCACTCACCACTAGTACACTCACCACTCACCACTACTCACCACTCACCACTACTCACCACTAGTACACTCACCACTCACCACTACTCACCACTAGTACACTCAACACTCACCACTAGTACACTCACCACTAGTACACTCACCACTAGTACACTCAACACTCACCACTAGTACACTCACCACTAGTACACTCACCACTACTCACCACTCACCACTAGTACACCGCTGTGTCTGTTCCACCTGAAGAAGGAGACTTGTGTTGCCTCCGAAACGTCGTGATTTAATTGTTTTCTTTTATTTTGTTTTATTTTACCTCTGTGACGCCACCGTATAAATTGATTCTCAACATTGTTTCGTGAGGAGTCGACTCCTTTTTAAACGCATTAAGAATCGACTCTTATTGACTTGCACGGGGAATCGGATTGAAGAGTTGTATTAGAATTCGATTGCTCATTGAATTGCATGAGGAATCGACTTAGAGTCTGAATCAATACCTTGTCGACTTGTGTTTGGAACCGGTTCGTCGTGTGGAGTTGGATCCGGGTTTGGGGGGTTCAGCATCGCCTGGTGAGTTTACACTCAACACTCACCACTACTCACCACTAGTACACTCACCACTAGTACACTCACCACTAGTACACTCACCACTACTCACCACTCACCACTAGTACACTCACCACTCACCACTACTCACCACTAGTACACTCACCACTAGGACACTCACCACTCACCACTAGTACACTCACCACTCACCACTACTCACCACTCACCACTACTCACCACTAGTACACTCACCACTAGTACACTCACCACTAGTACACTCATCACTACTCACCACTAGTACACTCACAACTCACCACTAGTACACTCACCACTACTCACCACTAGTACACTCACCACTACTCACCACTCACCACTAGTACACTCACCACTAATACATTCACCACTACTCACCACTAGTACACTCACCACTAGTACACTCACCACTAGTACACTCACCACTACTCACCACTCACCACTACTCACCACTCACCACTACTCACCACTAGTACACTCACCACTACTCACCACTCACCACTACTCACCACTCACCACTAGTACACTCACCACTACTTACCACTAGTACACTCACCACTCACCACTAGTACACTCACCACTAGTACACTCACTACTAGTACACTCACCACTACTCACCACTCACCACTAGTACACTCACCACTACTCACCACTCACCACTAGTACACTCACCACTACTCACCACTAGTGCACTCACCACTAGTACACTCACCACTAGTACACCCACCACTCACCACTAGTACACTCACCACTACTCACCACTAGTACACTCACCACTCACCACTACTCACCACTAGTACACTCACCACTAGTACACTCACCACTAGTACACCCACCACTCACCACTACTCACCACTCACCACTAGTACACTCACCACTAGTACACTCACCACTACTCACCACTAGTACACTCACCACTAGTACACTCACCACTACTCACCACTAGTACACTTACCACTAGTACACTCACCACTCACCACTAGTACACTCACCACTAGTACACCCACCACTCACCACTAGTACACTCACCACTACACTCCACTCACACTAGTACACTCACCACTAGTACACTCACCACTCACCACTACTCACCACTAGTACACTCACCACTCACCACTAGTACACTCACCACTAGTACACTCACCACTACTCACCACTACTCACCACTCGCCACTAGTACACTCACCACTACTCACCACTCACCACTACTCACCACTCACCACTAGTACACTCACCACTCACCACTAGTACACTCACCACTAGTACACTCACCACTACTCACCACTACTCAACACTCACCACTAGTACACTCACCACTAGTACACTCACCACTAGTACACCCACCACTAGTACACTCACCACTACTCACCACTAGTACACTCACCACTAGTACACTCACCACTAGTACACCTACCACTCACCACTACTCACCACTAGTACACTCACCACTAGTACACTCACCACTCACCACTAGTACACTCACTACTCACCACTACTCACCACTAGTACACTCACCACTAGTACACTCACCACTCACCACTAGTACACTCACCACTCACCACTACTCACCACTCACCACTACTCACCACTAGTACACTCACCACTAGTACACTCACCACTACTCACCACTCACCACTACTCACCACTAGTACACTCACCACTAGTACACTCACCACTACTCACCACTAGTACACCACTAGTACACTCACCACTAGTACACCCACCACTCACCACTACTCACCACTAGTACACTCACCACTAGTACACTCACCACTCACCACTAGTACACTCACCACTAGTACACTCACCACTCACCATTAGTACACTCACCACTCACCACTACTCACCACTCACCACTACTCACCACTAGTACACTCACCACTAGTACACTCACCACTAGTACACTCACCACTCACCACTACTCACCACTCACCACTACTCACCACTCACCACTAGTACACCGCTGTGTCTGTTCCACCTGAAGAAGGAGACTTGTGTTGCCTCCAAAACGTCGTGATTTAATTGTTTTCTTTTGTTTTATTTTATTTTACCTCCGTGACGCCACCGTATAAATTGATTCTCAACATTGTTTCGTGAGGAGTCGACTCCTTTTTAAACGCATTAAGAATCGACTCCTATTGACTTGCACGGGGAATCGGATTGAAGAGTTGTATTAGAATTCGATTGCTCATTGAATTGCATGAGGAATCGACTTAGAGTCTGAATCAATACCTTGTCGACTTGTGTTTGGAACCGGTTCGTCGTGTGGAGTTGGATCCGGGTTTGGGGGGGTTCAGCATCGCCTGGTGAGTTTACACTCAACACTCACCACTACTCACCACTAGTACACTCACCACTAGTACACTCACCACTAGTACACTCACCACTACTCACCACTCACCACTAGTACACTCACCACTACTCACCACTAGTACACTCACCACTCACCACTACTCACCACTAGTACACTCACCACTAGTACACTCACCACTCACCACTAGTACACTCACCACTCACCACTACTCACCACTCACCACTACTCACCACTAGTACACTCACCACTAGTACACTCACCACTAGTACACTCACCACTCACCACTAGTACACTCACCACTACTCACCACTAGTACACTCACCACTCACCACTAGTACACTCACCACTACTCACCACTAGTACACTCACCACTACTCACCACTCACCACTAGTACACTCACCACTAGTACACTCACCACTACTCTCCACTCACCACTACCCACCACTAGTACACTCACCACTAGTACACTCAACACTCACCACTACTCACCACTCACCACTAGTACACTCACCACTACTCACCACTACTCACCACTCACCACTAGTACACTCACCACTAATACATTCACCACTACTCACCACTAGTACACTCACCACTAGTACACTCACCACTAGTACACTCACCACTACTCACCACTACTCACCACTCACCACTACTCACCACTAGTACACTCACCACTAGTACACTCACCACTCACCACTAGTACACTCACCACTAGTACACTCACCACTACTCAACACTCACCACTACTCACCACTCACCACTAGTACACTCACCACTACTCACCACTAGTACACTCACCACTCACCACTACTCACCACTAGTACACTCACCACTAGTATACTCACCACTAGTACACCCACCACTCACCACTACTCACCACTCACCACTAGTACACTCACCACTAGTACACTCACCACTCACCACTACTCACCACTAGTACACTCACCACTAGTACTCTCACCACTCACCACTACTCACCACTAGTACACTTACCACTAGTACACTCACCACTCACCACTAGTACACTCACCACTAGTACACTCACCACTCACCACTAGTACACTCACCACTAGTACACTCACCACTAGTACACTCACCACTCACCACTACTCACCACTAGTACACCCACCACTCACCACTAGTACACTGACCACTAGTACACTCACCACTCACCACTACTCACCACTAGTACACTCACCACTCACCACTAGTACACTCACCACTAGTACACTCACCACTACTCACCACTAGTACACTCACCACTCACCACTAGTACACTCACCACTAGTACACTCACCACTCCCCCACTCCCCCTCCCTCCCCCCCAGGACGAGGACTTTGTCACCACCATGGCCAACGCGGCCTTCCTGTCTCACGCTCTGCGCCCTGACCCTTCTGCTGTCCCTGCTGCTGTTGCTGCCCCTGCTGTCCCTGCTGCCCCTGCTGTCCCTGCTGCCCCCGCTGTCCCTGCTGCCCCTGTTGCTGCCCCTGCTGTCCCTGCTGCTGCTGCCCCTGCTGCTGCTGTCCCTGCTGTCCCTGCTGTCCCTGCTGCCCCTGCTGCTGTCCCTGCTGCTGCTGCTGCCCCTGCTGCCCCCGCTGTCCCTGCTGTTGCTGTCCCTGCTGCTGCTGTCCCTGCTGTCCCTGCTGCTGTCCCTGCTGCTGCTGCCCCTGCTGTTGCTGCCCCTGCTGCTGCTGTCCCTGCTGCTGCTGCCCCTGCCGCCGCTGCCCCTGCTGCCCCTGCCGCCGCTGCCCCTGCTGTCCCTGCTGCTGCTCCTGCTGCTGTCCCTGCTGCTACTGCCGCACTGCCGCTTGGCTCCCCGCTGTGCCGCTGGTGGCTCGGCTTCCTGGGCGCTCTCAGACGCTGCTGCTGCTGCTGCACCACCACCAACACCACCGCCGCTGGCTGTGGTGTTGGTGGTGGTGTTGGTGGTGGTGTTATTGGTGGTGGTGTTGGTGGCGGTGGTGTTGGTGGTGGTGGTGTTGTCGGTGGTGGTGTTGGTGGCGGTGGTGGTGTTGGTGGTGGTGGGGGTGGTGGTGTTGGTGGTGGTGGCGGTGGTGGTGGTGTTGGTGGGGGTGGTGGCCGTGGTGGCAGTGGTGGTTGCGAGCAACCCGAGGAGTGGGCGGTGGCAGTGGTGAGGGCGGCTGGGACGCCGCGCTCACTCCTCACGCTGCTCACTGACCGTGAGGACGACGACCAGGTGAGACCACGGGTGGGGCGCACAAGGATATGTGTCTGTGTGTGTGTAGGTCGACTCAGCCTCAAATGAGTACCTGGAGGGATGTGTAAACATCGCCGCTAGGGAGACAAAGGCGGCCGGGCATGGTGCTGGCCACCCACCCCCTCGTGTGCTGTGCCGGCCTTTAAAGGCGCTCGCTAACAGCACTTGCCCCTACAGTCTGTTAAGGCTATACGGGGTATCTTTGTCTGTGCGCGGGACGGGCTAGAGAAGAGATGGAGTGACGTGGTACAAGAGGATGTGGAGCTGAGTCGACTTCCCGATGACTGGTACCAGCGGTGTAAAAATCGGCCTCTGTGGAGGAGGCTCGTGAAGGACGCTACTGGGCAGTTGGAGGCAGTCGCCCTCCAACAACAACGGAGGGCGGAGGAGCGACGCTCAGAACAACGAGCGGAGCGCCGGGTGGCTAAAGCACAGCAGGTTGGCACAGGAGGGGGCACAGGCGGTGCATCAGCCAGTCATCTCAGTCAGTCGACCCGTGGCACCTGGGTCTGTCCCTTGACCTTCTGCCAGCGGGCGTTCGACACTTCACGTGGCCTCAAGGTGCACATAGCCTGGCACAAGCGTCGTGGTGACATCACCGCCACTTGGTGGCGTATGGCGGTTGTTGTTTGTGCATCTCCTCATCTCCCCGTGCCCCCACAGGTGCGTGCATATGCATGTGAGGTGTTGCAAGTCCTCAGCTCCAACCATGTTGGCGCATTGGCCCTCTGCAACAATGGAGGCATCGCGGCCTTCGCCAGCCTGCTGGGACGCACTCACAACCCTCACACCCTGGAGAAGATCACCGGTAGCAACCCACCCACACTCACCACCCACTCTCGCCACCCACACTCACCACTCACCACCCACTCTCGCCACCCACACTCACCACCCACGCTCACCACCCACACTCACCACCCACACTCACCACCCATGCTCGCCACGCTCGTCACGCTCACCACTCTCACCACGCTCACTACTCTCACCAGGCTCACCACTCTCGCCATGCTCACCACCCACACTCACCACTCACACTCACCACCCACCCACCCTCGCCACCCCTACCCCAGGCACGCTGTGGAACCTGTCGTGCCACGAGCCTCTGAGGGCTGCGCTGGTGGAGCTCTGCCTCCCGGCGCTGGTGGAGCTCGTGCTGGTGCCAGAGAGCGGCTGGAGGAGCAACGTTGGAGACAAACCCTCCTCACCGTCCTCACCCAGCTCGCCCGTCTCACCCTCCTCACTCAGCTCGCCCGCCTCGCCTTCCGCGGCGTTCTGCAACGCCTTGGCGTGCCTGCGGTAAGGCGCGCCGAGACAGACGTGACGGGGACGTTGCGGTGGACGCGACGGGAATGTCGTGGTTGACGTGACGGGGACGTCAGGGTTCACGTCACGGCGGTGACGTTGCAGGGAGTTGAGCTTGGCAGACCCGGACAGGCGGCTGAGCATGCGGCAGTGCGAGGGGCTGGTGGACTGCGTGCTGCACTTCATCCGCACGGCACTCAAAGGG